TAAATGTAATACCCCTATGAATTTTTATAATTCTTATCCCTAGAGATAAATATAATTTCAGAATATGGTGATGAACTACATATTTCTTCTTATTATTTAAGTTTGGTATTAATTTTCCTAATAAATCCTCTGGCGCCATAGGATATTCATTATGAAGGTCATGTAATTCATTTGGATATTCCAAATCTACTTCTAGAATACATGGATGCCTTTGCCAGAATTTAATTTCTTGTTTATTCATCCACTTGAATTTACTAACCGGCAGTGGCTTGCTCATTGCCCAGCCATATAAATTATTCGCATCCAGGTATTTTAAATAAATAGATTCTTTTTCGGGATCATAATCTTTCATATATTTATTATTCGCCTTTGAATATCTTTTCGTAATCATACTGACTCCGCCTCGAATTCCTTTTTCGATCATTAAAACCATATCGGGGTCTGATAATAATTCTAATTCTATTTTTGTTAATTTCAACAAGGCATCCCAGGCAAGCCCGGGCGCAGTACAGTACCAAACAGGATCTAATTTGTAATTCTTAATACAAACATCTCTGAAAGTCTCAAATACATCGGCTAGCAATAGAACATCGCAATCGAGATATAAATCATGATACTCTTTCATATCCTTTATCTCAAATTCCTGCCAGACTTTTTGTGCGTGTTCGTAATCAGCATCAGAAATATGCTTATTATTAAGCTTGCTGTAAAATTCTTCTTTAGGCGGCAAGCATTTATCTTTTAATTTCTCTTCTGAGTCAAAATAATCATAAGGAAATACACCCTTTCTTACTAATAATTCGATATCTTCATACATCCACTTCATATTTTTGAAATTCTCATTTTTTAGATTTCCCACCAGCCTGTCCAGCCCGGCCGCCATGAATTTGAAAGAGTCGATGAATCTGATTTCTCTTTTAATTTCAAATGTTTTACCATCTTTTTCGAACTCACCTATTTTTATTAATTTATTGAATGAGATGTATTTCTCTTCGTTATTTGGAATGCAGTTTATTGGCCCATCAGATACGCCTAGATTTTTTATGAATAAATGGGCGTCGTAACCGGCGAGATTATGGAATATAACTGGRATATGTTTTGGAATTCTATAATTTAAATTACAGACATTATGTGCCGCGCCTCTATACTTGCCAGTTAAGTGGCAGTGATCTAAAACTTTATCCAGAAATTTCTGTTCAGAAATTTCGAATTCACCTTCGCAAATGTGGCAGTTCTTTGAATTTTTATAATTTTCTTAGTATTTAAGAAACCTCTAATAGCGGTTGCTTTCTTTTTAATTCCAGAAATTCTATTATAGATCTCAGTTAAATCATCTCTACTAAGACTAGTAATACTATCCGTAAGCAGTTGAAATTCATCATTCACGCGACTCATTATATATAATAAATATAAAACTAATTCACAATACGCGAACTTATTAAAATAAAACGCTCTATTATAAATTCTCATAGTAGTGGATTTTTTAACAAAAAATCGAGTGGCTAGCTGTTTGGACGGACGCTAGAAAACAATGAAAAAAATTCGCCAGTTTCGGCCTTTATCCACTACTAGTCACATCACCACTCTATTGATTGGCCACGCCCATGAGAAGACAGCCCATAGTGGAAGAGGAATGACACTCAACGAGCTAAGGAATCAATTCTGGGTGATCAACGGAAACTCTGCAGTGCGATCGTTCATTTCCAAGTGTGTTACGTGTAGAAGACTGAGATCTAACCTGGCAACACAGAAGATGGCTGACCTACCTGAGGATCGAATGAGTGCAGCGCCCCCATTTACACATTGTGCAGTTGATTACTTCGGTCCATTTATGGTTAAAGAAGGAAGAAAAGACCTAAAGCGTTCTATTTACGTGTTTGTCCAGCAGAGCCGTGCACCTTGAATCGGCAATTTCTTTGGAGACAGATTCATTTSTGAACGCCTTACGACGTTTCATAGCCCGCCGATGTCCAGTCAAGTCTATACGATCTGATCAAGGAACAAACCTAGTTGGAGCTGTTAACGAGCTGCGAGAGAATCTGAAGAAAATGAACCAGGAAAAGGTAAAGGAGTACCTGCTACGACACGGAAGGGCCGATTGGTTACCACAATGGTCATTCAACCATCCTTCAGCCAGCCATATGGGTGGATCGTGGGAAAGGCTAATTCGTACAACCAGAACCATCCTCGTAGCCTTAACGAGAGAGCAAGGACATGCGCTCAATGATGAATCGCTTAGAACTCYCCTAGCGGAAGTTGAGAACATCGTAAACAGCCGACCTCTGACATTTCCTACAGATGACCCTCAAGATCTCTCTGTTCCTTTAACTCCCAATCACCTACTCACAACGAAATCTAAAGTAGTTCTTCCCCCTCCTGGCGAATTTCAAACAGAAGACATGTACAGCAGAAAGCAATGGAGAAGGGTACAATATCTTACGGAAGTTTTCTGGTCAAGATGGAAGCGTGAGTATCTACAAACACTGCAGGTACGTGGAAAGTGGAACCGGTTTCAAAGAAATCTCAAAGTTGGAGATATCGTCCTTGTGAAAGATGAAAGAACGCCCAGAAATACATGGCCCTTAGCTCGCGTGGTTGAGACGTTTCCTGATGCTCAAGGAATGGTGCGCTCCCTCAAAGTGAAGACGCAAGCATCGGTACTTACCAGACCCATCCACAAACTCGTCGTATTATTGGAAGCATAAAGATTTGACTTTTTCTTTCTATAAGGACTTGATTTATGAACACTGATTGACAATATTAGTTTAGCAACCTTTATTATTACTTATTATTCAGTTGATAAGTGTGGCACCCTCTTATGAGGGGAAGAATGTTGGTGCGAATAATTGTTTTCTTTGCCTAAGTTTAATGTATTCTGTTCTTTTGTTCTAATCGTTTAATTATTGTAAAATAGTGTAATTAAGTCAGTTCACTTCAACGTTTAACGGAACTCACGACAAACTATCTTGTAAGTATTTTTTAAGTTTTTTCGTATTTTGCCCTTTTTGTATTATTCGTTTATTGACTTTTGTAATGTAACTTTTTAGGACCCGTTCGTTCGTTCGTTCGTTTGTAATTAACGTAATGTGAATAAACGTCAACGACGAGTTCAAGAAGTTTGGCTATTATAATCTGCAAAAAGGAAAATTTGAAAATTTGAAAATTCCTTAATATGTTTTTCTTTAACACAATATGTGGTAAATGTAGCCAATAATAAATAGTGGATTTTACATGGGCGAGCGGAGATACGGATTTTATCCTCGAGTGTGAAAAGATCTCTCACGAGTGATCGTTGATTGAGTAAATACGGTGCTCGCGTGATACCGTACTTTAGCCGTATCGTAAGCGTGAATCCTGATTGGCTGGCAGACTTTCTACTGACAACTGGTCTACATCATCTTGTCACACAACACCTAGTTGCTGAATTCTCGCCACCTGTTTATGCAGAGTTTTCGACAGAAAATTCGATCAAAAAAGCCTTTTAAGGATGAATGTCAATGGGAATCAGTTTTTTGTAAGTAGGGATTTTATAAAATGACTGGGAGATGTTGAGATTTGAAGATTATTATATCAATATTCCTCTATTTTTTCGGCATTTCGAGACCTCACTAGTGTCGATTTGTTGAGAAAGTGTAGTCTTGGTATCTTGATGCCAGCTTGATAAAATGATCTTTTTGATAAATAAACCAGTTGAATTAGCAATTAGTTGTTTGTATATATTTGAGCACTTTTAAGCAGGGAGAATATTTGCAATTCATTGAGCGAAAGTTTTTAGTTTGTCAAACTTTCGGGTATTCAAGCACTCGCGCATGACATGTTCAGTCGGTAATTTTCAAGCATAAAGCTTACTTGAAATTTTCTGTACTGCTTGCTTGACAATACCACTTAAGAGGGGCATTCAGGGAAAACCAAAGATAATCGTTAATTCGCGGCAATGTTCGAAAAATCGATTTAGCTCTTATTTAAACCATAGGTAGGCACTAATGTAAGAATAAATGCCATGTAGTTAGTTTAGMGAAATACGACTTAGTTTCAGAGAAAATCGAGGAAAAGTTTAAACTGTCACATTCCGTTAATTTTCACCTAATAATATGACCCAAATTTAACGGTAAATATTGATCCTGAAAAAATACCTAGAGCTCTAATATTTCATGGAAACCTTAACCAGTATGTTAGCTGACAGTTGACAAAGCTTCAGGCATTTTGAAAGTAATTTCAATTTTTTACTAAATTTAATATATAGAGATATAAAAATTTGTCTGAAAATATGCTTTAAAAAATATGTACTTATTGCATATGGTGATAATTTGTTTTAGCTGAAAAACACATCAAACTAAAGTAGAAATGATAATCTTTTAGAAACAATTGAAATTTGTTTGGGGAARTGGATTTGCTTGATGCGTTACGGTCCTAAAGTTGTAAGAAATTCACGAATTTTATCAATCGGCTTGATCAACTAATTTGCATATTGTATACTAAATTAGCTATCAAAACTGCTATATTTTCGAAATTCAAAAATTATTTCTAGAATGCCAATATTATTAACAGCCTCATTCTAAAAAAGAATGGTAACGTTTAAACTAGTTATTTCGCTTGAATTTTTGCGAAGTTTGTAAGCCTTGGAGACAACCACTTAATTAATTCGACTGACACGGACAATGTTTATCATGTAATATCTATGATCCATTCTTTGCTATTTTTTCCTTTTTGATCTTTTTTGATTATTAGTCAATTTGATTAGACTCACTGATGTTTTGGAAAACAATGCACAGTATTGTGATAGACGGTATACTATGGACAGCAACAAGTCCTGAAAGGTCGCACAGGTTGATCGTCTAGTCGTATAAATCAGGGTTGTAAGAACTATTGTAAGTCCTGCTGAAAAATTAAGCAAGAATGGAACGTTTTAATAATTATAATTACCGAGGTGATTGTTTTTTTTATCTGCTTACCTTGATCTATACATTAGCGCTTATGGCAATTTGCTTGATTTTCTCTTGATTCATGTGCTAGAATAGTAAATGCGAAGGTGGGTCCAAGAATTAAACTATGATCTTTGACTTTTACACTATAGATAACACTTTTCGATTTTAACTTCCCTCTAAAACTTTATTGATCGAACTAATGTGCATTTCATAATATCAATTAAAAGTACTTTATTTCTTTAATGTCAAATTCACTTTGTAAAATCTGCATAGAGCAGCTGTGTTGCGTAACCGAGCTATTTTAGTGATAGTATGGTTAATCTAGTTTTAGCCGTCGTCATCATAGCAATCATTAATACTACTTTATATTTACCTGTTTCCTTTGCAGCTGCAACTGCTGACGAGTTTTTTTAACATATCTGAGTATGGCTTCTTTTGTTTTTTTGTGATACCGCTGATATCGAGCTCAAAAGCAGTGCAGATCTCTTTGAGCTGGCTGACAGAGAATTTTGAGAGTTTGCCCTGACTTGATAAATTACAAATATTATGTCCTTCAAACATAATGGGATGCTTCAACCCTATTGTTTCCAACAAAGTTAATGATAGCTCTTGGATCTCTCTCTCTTTATAGTTCTGATTGAACTCTTTGCATAGGTATTCGTCGTCGTCTTCTTCATCATCATCTTTGCATTCATGGTTAATGTCTTTCTCTGAATCTTTAGAGGCGTTTTTCCTTCTCTTTTTCGCCAAGCGGGAGAAAAAGCTTGTTATTTGTTGCTGTGTTAACAACTCCGTCTTAYCAAAAAGACGCAAACCATCCGTGTTTCGGGTAGATCGCATTTGCCTCGACACATCTGCAGGATYGGCTTTTTGGCCTGTTTTCTCGCCGGCATCAAATACTTCAGTCAAAAATTTGATCTGCAMATCGGTAAAACGCTTCTTCTTTGAAGATAATTTCAAGGCCCAGCCCATCGAAAGGTCTGGATTGGTGTGAGACGGTGGCAATTCATCACCTTTTGCTGGTTCTGGGTTTTTACTGGTCCCTTCTTCTAGYTTTGCTGCATACAATTTCATGGCTTTGTCGTAAATTGTTTCGTGCTCTAGAGCATATTCATGGTTTCCACAATGCAGATGTTTTTCGAGAGAAGAGYACCTTTGGTAYGATTTAGTACAGCTTTGTTCGGGACACGAAAACAATCTCTCGGACATTTTTGACTGTTCACCGTTGTCTTCTGCACCATCCTCGTCGTCAGTTTCACAAGAATCTTTCTCTTGRCGTTTCTTTTTCTGTAGTCGAGCTTTCACTGTTACGAATGATACCACATTCTCGGTTTCACTTTGATGTTTTATCTGTGGTACTGCTGTAGGTAGATCGAAATCGCTCAAGGAAAGACTTTTACCTGGTCCAGTATTGTATGCCAACCACACTTTCATGGCTTTGTCTGTATATTCGATGTTGTTAATTAGGCTTACACCGTCCCATTTCCCTGCTACACACCCTGTGCTTGGTTGTAAGGTACAGATAACTACTTTCAACCCTGGAATACCACCAAAGGATTCAATTGCTTCTTTCATTTGCTGGGGGTTCTCGATATCTTTGCCATAGTTCAAGTATTTATTCATGTGGTTCTTAATATGCGCCGCCTTTCGGTCGCATGCCCCTTTTCCACCTTGTGGGTCTGAAAAGTCGATACGTCGAATTTTGATGCTAGTTAATTTCTCTACGACTGGTAAAGAAAGCAAAGTGAGTGTAGAATGATAGCATCCGGCATTGTCCTGGCGTAAGTACACGGTGCGTATCTCTGGAGTAATTGTTGAGAGCTGACATAAGATATCGTGTATTATTGCCACAACAGCTATGCTATCTTGACTACAGGATTTGAAGATATGAACAAACGTAAGAGTTGTGATATGGTCATCCTTATCCTTTCTTGTCACTACCGCTATATGCCAAGAAAGTCCTCGTTTGGCAAACCAATCTCGTTGGCTCTCCCGGAACTTTCGGGGAACAAATTTCATTGCCCAGTCAGAATGAATAAGTGCGCTATCTGGACCCAACTCTCCCAAAATATCGTGCCGCGCAGCATCTTGGTTGATGGCTCTTAAGACATGGGCTTTCCATGACTGGATGTTGTGGGC